CCCAAGTTGTTCTTTGCAGGGCTGCTCTCAATGAAATCTTCCCCAGATAATCTGGGATTACCTTGACCCAAGTGCAACACCTTGCACCTGCCCTTGTTAAACCTCATTAGGTTCACGTGGACCACTTTTCCATCCTGTCCAGGTCCCTCTGGACGGCATCTCTTCCTTTCTGTTGTGTCAACTGCATCACTCAGGTTGCTGTTTAAAGCACTACCTGGTGATATTGGATATAAGGAGGCGTGAGGAGGTCTAAGTGAGCAAAGCAAGGGGCAAGCACTGAGGAGAGGCAGCGTTGAGATTGATGCAAGCTTTGAATGGCGTTAAATATGAAATTCAGGCACAGGGGAGGACCGGAATGGGCAGGCTGGTTGGATGCTTCAAGCAGAAGCTACCCGCTCGACGAGACGCAGACCGGCTGTACCGGCTGTTAGCAGCGGTAGCCGAGGCCCCAGCAGGGCGGGCGGCAGCGCCCTCTGCCGGCTGCGCTCGGCTCCCCTGCGGAGCGTGCTGTGGGTCCCTACCGGGGCCGCGCTGCGGGGCGCTGCCGCAGCTCTCCCCTTCGGTTCTTACAGGAAGAGAACCGAACTCTGCCATTTCTGAGGCGGGCGCGGCAATGAACACTTTCAGGGCCCGGCAGCTGGCCTGGCGTGGGCTCGGGCGCCATCTCGTGCCCGGCCTCGTGAGCGTGACCTGGCTCTCACCCAGCTGAGCAGGGAGATAAAGTGAAATAATAAAATAGCAGGTCTCCACTTACTGCTAATCATTACCCAGTATAGAACAGCTTCAAGTAGGGAAGGTGAAATAGTTCTCCTTGAAAAAATCAAAACTGTCATGTGGTGGTGTTAGCACCCCGACCCAAAGCACAGAGCAGGGATGTAACACTATGTGGGCAGACACTGTGCAAGGGAGTGAGCTGGAAGTGACACCAGGAAGGAGCAGTGACAGCACTGTGTAGCTGAGAGTGTTTAGCTAGGGCTATTTTCCCAGCCTACGTAATCCATTAGAACAATATTCTCAGCAATGAGAGACTGCTGTTTGCAGTTACCTTTCTGCATGCTCAGGATCACATGGCTCTTACAAGATGCACGGACCCCTAGTAAAAACCTGTGAGTGCCTCAGATAAACTGGACACATTCAATCTCTAGCCAGGCCAGCTGCCTCGCACTTTGCTGATTTTGAGGTTTCTTGATCACCAGACTCAGTTTATTCAAGCAGGCTACCTGGCAGGCTGAGGATCCCACTAGATGGCAGGACAGTTAAGCTCTTGCTGCTTTCAGCCAAACCGCTTTGGATAGCACAATCAGTGCGCTCCAGTGGGCTCAGCCCTTCAGGTCTGTGCTGGGCTGACCTGGGCACCCCTCGCGATTCACAGCAGATCTGCAGCTCTCAGCAGAGCAAACATAGTCTGTGCAAAACTGGTGGAGAAATCAGTATGGAAATCTCTGACTCTTTAATTCTTCCTCATGTGTTTTACCACACACAAAGCACCAGCAGGCAGAACAGAGGAATACAAATCAACCCTAAGTAATCTGCTGCATCCTGAAATATGTAAAAGATATTTGGAATACATGATGGTAAAGTGTGGATTACATATCATATACCTACTGCTGTGTTGTCATTGTTAACTAATGCAAGCACAGTTAAGACTCCATATGATCACCACTGTATTTATCAACGTGTAATAACTGTGTATCCTCTCACTATTTGGGAATGATATAGAAGATACACTTCCACATATCCTATTGTCAAACAGTAGGCCGTTGTGGAATAAGTATAAATGCACTGGTGTAACAAGCAAAAATTAACAATCAGCTAATGTTTTGATGTGACTCTTACATAGAAGTAGCTAAGGATTATTTAAATAAATACATGGCATATACGCATATAGCAGCCAGTTTATCATCATCTGTTTATTAACAGCATTCATGAAGTGAGTTAACTAATTAAAATACACTTTGAAATTGACTGGCTTGCATGGTAAACTTGAAGAAATATTTATATGCATAACTCTTCATCTGCAAGGCCCAATTTGGAAACATACAATGTACGCAAAACATTGTATATGTTTTGTCATTACTGTAAGTCATTACTGCCCTGTTATGAGCTGGAGTGAATGTTGTGCAACAGAGAATTGGTCACTGTGAGTAGGATCATAGGTCCATATAATCAAATACAATGTCTTGAACAATGCAAAATTATATGATGTTACCAATGAGTAGTTTCCTTGCCTCAAGTATTTGTTCAAGGACTTTACAGAATGGGAGACATTTTCTGTACACTTAGTAACTCCTGAGTTAAAACTGCAGTTGATGTAAAACAGTCTTTTCCTTCAGTGACCTATACATTACCATCAATGCTTTGGAAATTCCTTATAAAGTATACCAGTGCTTTGATGATCATTTCATCCAGCATTTCTTTTTAAAGCTCAGCCTATGCAGTTACACCAGAATGATAGTATGTGGCACAGATGAAGGTAGCTAAAGGAGAAATCATAAGAAAGCATAAATCATGAGAAATCATGAGAAAGCATAAATTAGATTGTTCTAATAATCAGTCCCCTACCTTAAAATCTACTTACTCCTTCATTGCCTTCCAGAAAACAAATGGAACTTTCCTAATTTATAATAACAGAAGATATGCCTCAGCATGTTCACTTGCCTCTTACATGGAGCTCATGATGAACAGCTGAACAAAAGAAAATTACCTTCTTAATGATATCTGAAGAAGAGTGAGGCCAATTTTTTTATGTGTTCGAAGAATCTAAATTATTAAATTTTCTAATGTATGCACAATTAAGTTACAGAGTTTTATTTTCTATCCTTTTTTTTTTTTTTTTTTAAGTATGCAGAGTGGCTGAGAATTAATCTTTACCTCATTGAGTTCTGAAATTTGGAGACAATAAAGTTACTGTTTTTGCTTGGTACTAAAATAAATGTCTTGGCTCTGTATAAAAGCCCAGGATGGTGCTTTTATGCTGATGAAAAAGATGCTATTACCTGTGCTGCACTTGCTGCAAATGGAAATTGGGATTAATGCGTTATAATACAAAATTAGCCTTAATAGAAGTTTGCTGCTGTAATTTATCAAGTTAATTAAATATGCACCTAATTTTAAGCACTAAGTATTTCTACTTACTTCAGTGAGACTAATCTACATTTAAAGCTAAGCATATTTTAAAATATTCTGCTGATTCATGGCCATAACTTTGTAACTATATGGATTAAGAGAAAACACTAGCATTAATTATTCATTATCTGAGCTAATAGGAAGGTGGTATGTCCTGGATATTAGTTAAAACTGGTTAAACTGGCTCAGCAGGGAGTATTCAGAAGCACTTAGCTCTTTACAGGCACAGCTAAAGTCCAGCAGGAGTTACTGTCTATCTTCAAGATACCAGCAAGAAAAGGAACCAGAGCTTGCCCAACTCTAGCTATACTTTGGACAGTAACCCTGCTTAAACCCCTGATTCCTGGGTACTGTGCCCTTGAGGTACCCAAAGAGCTCAGAAGGGGCTTGGCTAACTCCTGTCTGCCTGAGTGAGGAGTAATACAGAACTAATAAATTCTTCTGGACCAAAGTTTTCAGCACAATGTCTCTCATGCCAATCGTTTTTAACTGAGTTGCATTTTAAATCTTCCTGTTTGTCTTTACATCTTATGCAGAGTTTCTTCTTAAGCTTCTTTCTGCACTCTCAATGACAGGTTCATACAGCAAAAGTAAGCACCAATTCTCCTACTTGTTTATCACCCTGGTTAAGGTTCTAAATTCAATATCTGTGAGTAGTGGGATGTATGTATGTCTGCTGAGTAATTTTATAGACAGTTTAACACATGAATAATTTGCTAGCTTTAATTGGTTCACATGATTGGTATTTTAATAGGAAAAAAAAAAAAAACCTTCAAAGCTTTTCAAAATAGAAAAATATTTAAGTATCTGTTCCTGTAACCCAAATTTCAGAGTCTGTTTAACGTAAGAGAAAATTCTAAATATATCCAGTGCTGCAACTGTGAAGGGAGAATTCAATACAGGCTGTGACCCAGAAGAGCACTTTAACATACGCTCCACTTAAAGCGTATAAGGAATTCTGCTTCAGTAATACTCAACTACTTGAATCCCATTGGATCATTTTAACATCTTAAATTGAACGCTTTCATGTGTCCCGATGCTATAAAGGAGACTGGAGTATGAGAAAAGGACTGTAACACAGAACAAAAGTGTGCATCACAAATACAGTTAATTTTATGTCCCTCTCCATTGTGGTTTTCAGCTTTTGTCCTCTGCTAGCTCAAGTTTTCAGACTGTCTTAAGCCACCTGTTTTGCTACAGCGGAGTATGTTATTTCCTATTCCAAACTTTAAAGTAATTCTGGGATGCTGCACTTGTTGAATGAGCACAGATAGCTGGAGAGAACCCAGTGTTGCTTCAGCTGGATAAAATCTACCCTTTACTGAATGGTCCCTAAAAGACAGCCTATTAATAAATGCAAATGCCTATTATGAATGGTAGCTGTGTGGAAAAGCCTCTTGCAAGATGTCCACCAGCCATAAAATTCACAAATATTTTGTAGGTGGAATATCAGTCAATTGTGTGATGTGCCTATGTGGGACACTTCTTCCATCTTGCCACAGTCCAGCAGAGAGACTGTGTATGTAAATAAAATAATTTGATTGTCAGTATTGGTCAAGTCTCACAAAGTACAAAAAACAGCTGCAGCTCTAGACAGCAGTAAGGGTGTCTGTGCATGAATCTTGGATTTCTACAGTAAAGGACTGCATGCTGGGTAGTTTCAGGAGCATGGCCTTCATCACACACACACACACACACACACACACACACACACACACACAAAAAAAAAAACCCAACATTTAAATAGATAAAACTCTGTAAAAATCACACTGGAACACTTTCATCAGCAGCAAACAGTAAAGCAAAAATGAGATGCAATAATTATATATTATTATGGGGTTTTGAGTCTTGTCATATAAAAGAAACATCAAAGATTCAACAGAAGACAGAAAATATGATAGCTATTTAATTTCCATAGTGAGATGAACAGTTTTAATCACTTACAAACATGGCTATTTTATTTCAGATATACATGAACAGCTACAATAATAAGCCTCAAAACAGAAATGACAGAAATAGCAAGACTGCTAGGAGTGGGATAGATGAGATGATCTGCCATAATTAAATAGAGTGTAAAGAGACTTAAAAAATGAACACTGGTAGTTTAAATGCTAAACAAAATGCTTTGAGGTCAGGAAGAAGAGAGAAAAAAGTTAGTTTTCCTATTTGTCACATCCATCTTCTTATACCTAATGAGAACAAAAATCTCTGAAGATATACTGCAGATTGGGTCTGTAATCTAATACATACTTATTATCTTAAAGGAGAGTGAATACACCTCTGTGTAACAAAGAAGCTATTTTAGAAAATTAAGAAATAGGACTTTTATTTTAAAGTAATCATTACCTGGTACATCTGCTATCTATGTTCATTAAAACTCCCAAAGAAGATTAGTTTGGGTGAATAAAGTAATCATTAAGCAAACAAAAAAAAAAAAAAAAAAAAAAAAAAAAGAAGCAGAACAGATACATTCTTTAGTTCTCTTCCCATTTGGATGCGTAGAACATTTTTTCTGATGAACAACAGCAGAAAAAACAGTAGTTCCATGTTAAAGCCATCTACGTATAAGTGTGTCACGAAAGTCTTTCCTGTGCTGTTGCAATTGCTACCACACTTCAAAATAGGTAACAGGGAAACTCTGCAAAGTCTGTCGACAGGTTTCATCAGTCGAGCAGTCCTCAGGTATTAGGAATTGCTGCTCTTTCCCTCTGCCTCTTGACTTTCCAGCAAGGCTTTGGATGATGATACTTCTCCACCCTCTGCTCCTTCATCTAGAAAAAAACACAAACATTTATAATGCACACATTCTTACAGCTTTTTAATTACAGTCAAATACTTGGGCTTATCGATCACTTCTATTTGGATTGGCTCTTTATTACCAAACTCATGGGTGCTCTGGAAAGAGTGATAAACTCAAAATATAAAGAACCTGCACAGACATTGTCCAAAAACAATTTCCTATTGGTTCTGATTTCCATGCTCCTTGCACATTCTGATAAATTTTAAGCATCAGATCAGATATAACTTTTCTTTTTTTCTGAGTTGTTTTCAAAGTCAGGTTAGAATATAGCACTCCTCTGAGCACAGTTTGGGTTCTGGTAGATAACATTACATTTTATGAACATGTCCGTTATTTGTCTGACCTTCTTTGCCACTAAAAACATAGCAGAATTATTTTTTTTTTTCACAAGATGAGGGTATATATATATATATTTGTAATTCTGATTTTGAAGTTCACTCTTTCATAGATCAGAATGGAACGATGACATGGCTAGTACAAATAAAAGCACACCAGCAGAACTGATTCATGGTCATGGTCATCATTAGATATGTGGAATTCTGCTCTGTCTCTTCTGAAGCCCATATTCTCTCACTGAGAAATGACAGCTCCTCTTGCCTTGATTTCCTTGCAAAGCACAATTATTTTCACACTATCCTCAAGTCTCACATAGCATTAACAATGGCAACAAAACAGTTTGTGTACTCAGACCTAAGACAGACTGTAGCTTCTGCAAATCTGGTTGTATCATCTTCCAACTTTTATCTGATTTAATAATCATAATCTAAGAGGTCAAATTTCAGGAATTTCCCTGGAGATTTGCCATTAACACATCACAAACAGACAATATTATATATATTCGTCACCGCTTACCACAGTAAATTTACACCACTGTACACAATAAACTGCTTGATGTTGTCTGCAACAGCCTCTGGTTTGGAGGCTTCATAGTTTAACACTGGTAAATTAAGAACTCAGTTATTTGACATTCTTCAGTATTACATAGCACAGCACTTTTAAGGAAAGGGAGACAGAGTCATGTCCTCTATTGTCTGCTTCTGTGTGGGGTTTGATGTCCAATATTAGTGGAGTCTTGTAGACAGGGTAAACAGAGTTTGCTAGAGGAAATCCAAACTCTTATTTGCAGCACAGGTGCTACAGGTGCTAAGCTGCTGTGTATCCAGACAGTTATACACAATTACCTAGAATTATTTTCACCAAGCAACATAAATTATTAGCAGAACAGACCCCCAAAGCAGATTACAGAAGGTCAGTGTAACCTCTTTGCTCTCAGACTTTTTGCAGATTCTTCTTTAATCCTGGAATCAGGTGGTGACACACTGCAACAGGTTGCCCAAGGATGTTGTGGATGCCCCGACCCTGGTGGCATTGAAGGCCAGGCTGGATGTGGCTCTGGGCAGCCTGGGTCTAGTAGTTGGCAACCCTGCGCATAGCAAGGGGGTTGAAACTAGATGATCATTGTGGTCCTTTTCAACCCAGGCCATTCTATGATGCTATGATTCTATGACTCTATGATTGTTTAATATGGTTCCACTATAGCTTCCCATCAGACTACCTTTGGGAAGTATCAACTCTCCAAAACTAACACATCAGCAGAGGTGGGTAGGGTACAGATAGCCTTCCTGTCAGACTTGGGCTCTGTGAAAAATAGCTGATGCCAAAACATCTCCATTCATTTCAAAGTGAATATTAATTTAGTGGAATGTCCAGAGTGCACAGAAATTTGTATCACACAGCAATGGTCCTTGCATTTTCATAAAGAATATATGCAAAGTCTCTTTTATCTTCTAAACCAGACAGAAGGTATTAGCAAATCCCGTTTCTGACCTTTGACTCTGACAGCAAGTGACAGCTTTTTAGAAGGAAAAGAAATGTATGATCCAATGAGCATTAGCTAAATGTGAAGCAAGATGGAGAGCCCTCCTCACCATTCCCCGTAGTCTTCACTAAATCTTTCAGAAAAAAATAGGGCATGCTTTATATAGCCACATGTTCTATCTTCTCTGCTTTTCTCATTTATCTAACCTCTTTGTTCTGAGCTGGCAATGGCTTTCATTTTAACAGCTTATTGCTAAAGCCAAAGACAAGCAAGTTTTGTCCATTACAGCCCCAAATGTATCACAAACAAACAATTTCCCAGTCACGGCATTGTAAACTTTCGTTTTATTTTGATGACTTTCCCTCAGTTTTGCTTGCTGCCCAATTGGAAGTTTAACTGACAAGAAAATGAGGCTGCAATTCCCATTTTGATGCTTGCGGAATTCCCAATTCACAAAAGCACCCAAGCAGTGCCCACTAGTCACAGTGTGTCTAGCTGTATCCTGCATTCACTTATTATCATGACTGCAAAATGCTGATAACAGCAATTACTCCTTCTGGGAGTGCTCTGGTGCCAATGAAAAAAGCAAAGGATAATTCCATGCTATGAATTGTTCTTCAAATCTCCTTTTGTTTTTAAGAAAGCACTGGTACATACTGCTCAAGCTAATGTAGCTGTGTTTCATTTCTTCTTAATGCACTTGGATGAGCACCAGGAAAGGATTACTCTGTCTGGAGTACTTCTATTATCTTGTACTGTAACATTTCTTTTAAGAAGACACCCACTCTTTCATGTTTACTTTTATGCAGGAAAATATATATATATATCGGTGAATAATTTTCCATGCCTTAAAAAGTATATTATTTCCAATTTTCCAGAGTCAAAATGAAACAAACATGAGGAACTTACCTGTACTGTTGTATTTTTTGAGCTTTGTTTAACATGGTTTTATGTATGCCCCTCAAGGTTAATTGCTCTAAGCAGTACAAAGGTTAGTTATTCATAGCACAGCAATGAATATTCCAATGGGTTGGACTTCCCAGTCCAAGAGCTTTACTTCCACAATGTCAAATTCCCACCTGCCTCCTCTTTGACAAGGGAAACAGTTCCCTCCTGCAGGAACGTGGCCCCTGGTCACTGTGTGCAATGGTGCCAAGTGGAAGAGCTTTTTCGGAATTAAAAAGAAGATATTTGAAAATGAAAGCATTAAATGTTAATTGCCTGTCTATACTTTGGAATGGATTTACAATGCTGCAATCACGTACACCAGAAAGAGGACATCTGCAAGGACATCTCAAATTCAAGGAGTCTGAACTGCGTCTCATCTGCTGTTACTGACCTGCATAACCTTGTATGCACTCTTAACACAGTGCCCTTCCGTCTGCTTTTCCAGATTCCCCTAGTTCTCCTCACTACTGCCCTTTCACCTAGGCATATATAACTGTCCTTGCTGGCTTTCACTTATTTATGTCTGTCCTCTCCTCTTCATAAATCCTTGGCCTTTCCTTTTGCAAAAGTAATGCCTCCTTCCAGCACCCATTCAGATAATGTTTTTTCCTCCCCTTCCTAGTTTCAAGAGAGGACGTTGTGATCCAGTCTCTCTTTTCATTCCTCGTAGAAGTGATATCTCTACTCATCCTCTTCTTCACCCCCAGAAGTCCTTCAACAGGCCCCAGATGGGCTTGGATTACAAAAATCCAAATACATGAATATAAATGAAATGATCAAAGCAAGGACAATTTGTAATCAAAGAATTTCCCACAGTTTTATGGTGCTTTAAGAGGATGTAAATTCAACACTACTTCAAGTAATATAGAAGCACGATATACACCCTTTGAGCTTGAGAATTTTCCTGTAACCTATTTCAGTTGGAATTCATGAGCCCTCTACCCTTCAGCACAGGCTTGCCTCCTACTCTGCTGCCTTCAGACCATTGCTGCTGCTGGAAGTGGGACCACCTTGGGAGTGGCAGGCATGAGAAGAAGAATATTCTTCCAAATCAAGATTTAAAAAGTAGGAGCAACCCATGCTCAGAGGCAATCTATAATTCTCACTTCATCAGCATCAGAAATGCAGCACTGATCTCAGACAGCAAAGTCTGAAGCTTAGCAGGAGGACTCAGCACTCCTAATTTTTATCTCTAAGTTAGAATGATAGCTGTAATTGGATCAGCAGCACAGCTTACTGTCTTGTGCTAAGCTACCCTTGAGCAAGAGGAGACTCTAATTAATAGCTGGCATGGTGGTTTGCCAAGCAGTCCAGCAATGTAACTGTGGTTCCTCTTCTTCATGTGAGCCAGCATTCAGTTCCCAGCACCCTTCCCCAGACTGCTGCACAGTGAGTCTGTGGGTGGATATGGCAGACTCAGTCTGGGTTAAAATTAACTTGTCTTGTTAGGAGTACAAAACTGTTTTGGAAGACTGAACTTAAACCCAAATGAAGAAAGAACTATTGGCACTGACATCAAAATTACATGGTGCCAGAAGTCTTAAGGAGAAAGCAAAGGATGGCTACATGCAGATGCCCGCTTCTGGAACACACAGGTGCTACCTTCAGAAACAGACAGCTCAGCCAGTTTGTGCGGCAAGTCCGAGGTCCCGGCACCAGCAGGAGAGCCCAGGATGTCAGGTAAGGCATTGCGGCGGCCTGCCCTGCCCGATGCTGCGAAGTCTGTCACCAGGGGCTCCACATCAGTCATTGCTGACTCTTTTCCTCATAGCAACATCTGTAGATAGAACAAACAGAAGAAAAAAGGTGTAGCCTGGAATCAGAACACTAAACAGGTCTGCTTGTTCAGTCTGGATTCTATTCACCAGACCAACACAACAGCCATGGGCTTTGTTTGCCCCAGAGGGTCTTTTCTTAGTAAAGCCATGTACTTCAATGCTGGGTGCTAAAGCCTTAGAGAAGAACCTCTGTGCATTTCATTATGTTGCCATTTGCACAACTGAGGAACATAATGAGCAGTTGTGTATCTACAGGAAACCTGTAGATAAGGTCAGCAACAGACTGTTCTGTCCACCACTTGTGTGGCTTCTTACCACCCGAGCATCGCTTTCAAGTGGTTTTTGCCACACTGCCATGGGGAAGGGAACTGAAACTCTGTTTAGTCATACTGTCTCCATGAACCATTAGCTTTTCTTTATTAGGAATCTTGTTTGGACTCTTATTTAGGATGTTATTACAACAAATTCCTTTCACGGGGAGTAAATTGTATAAAAAGGCCTCTCAACAAACTAAAAATAAAAATCTGCAAAAAATTTCTTAAGCCTACAAATACCAAACCACTTGCTTTGCTCTGCTCCTATGGAAATAACTAATTTGGTCTAACTCCAGCTCATGCATGTGCCTTTTCTGAATAAATAATGCAATCCTGTGCTTAACAGAACCAGTGGTGCTGAGTTTTCTCAAAGCTCATGGAATTGAATGTGAAAATTCCTGCTGATGAAAATGGGCTTTGGTTAAGGCATAGACATGTGTGAAGGATCACACCTCAGGGCAGCAGCTGAAGTGAGAGAACTTGAAGCAGAAGGCAGATACTTCATCGCAAGTAGCATGCAAGGACAGTTTGAAAAAACTTCCATTATCCCTGTTTTATTAAGTATAACAAAAGATTATCATACCAGATTTGCACATCATGACTTCCATTAATTAACAGAGTAATTCCTAATAATTTGCCATTAACTGCTCAATCAAAAACAATACTTGCTCAAATAAGTGCAGTTCTGTGTAGAGTGCAACAGGAATGTTGTGTCTTAGTGTAGCTATAGTAAGCACATTATGTAGGAAAGTGTACAGATGGGGTTGGAGACCATTTGATGAAAGAGTACCAGCTTGATTGATGACTGCCTGTATTTAGAATAAGAATTAGATAAGCAAAGTTTAAAGTTCCATTTTTACTGTTCTTCATGTAAGAATCAGAGCATCATGATCACCATTCTAAATTCCTGCTAGGGTTAGAAATTATTGGTACTCTCCTTTCATGGATAGAAAAACTGAGGCAGATCTTTAAATCAAACATAACCTATTCTGATGTGCAAGAAGGGAGCAGCAGCACTTCAATTACTGATGCTGCCCTTGTGTATCAACAACAAAGAGCATTTTCCTTTTCTCTCTCAAACTTCTTTTCATGTGTGATACTCCAACTACAATAATAAATATTCTTAACTATCTCTATATCTCTGAATACTGAATAATAAAATAAATGAATCCTACTTGGCAGGAAGTGATGACATGAATAAAATCTGCACATCTGAAAGATGACTTAACTAACAAATAATCAACTTTCTTTAAATAAAGTCAGTGATTAAAGGTTCTGACCTTGAGATTTTGAAGTTCCCATCTTATGTGAAAACAGTCAGAGCAAGTCCAAATGAATCCTTTCCATAAGTAGCAAAAACATTGAAGCAATAGAAAAATTTGAGCATCCAATGTTGAGAAAACATACAAGATATATGTATCACAATTCTGATTTAGGTACAGTATTATACTGTATATTCACTGAAATGAATGAGCTTGACACTTTACAAGAGATATCAAAATAAGGAGAATGAATCCAAATTCACAGACGCAGTCTCATGGGTTGCTCTTTTTTTTTTTTTTCTGAGTGTTCATATTCACTTAACTGTAGGTGTCCAACATATATTTCTTCAGAGTTGCAAGACACTGTAAATTACACTTCAGAACAATAAACAGCATCTTCCTTTGCTGGATAAAGCTGTTAAGTTTCGTTCCCAGTGACAAAATACCAGCATGGCCACAGTGCTTGCACATTCAGTTCAGCTCATGTAGTTGGGAGGACAATGCAGTTATGAGCTGACTGCTTCTCACTTAAAGACCAACAGACTGACATTAACGTTAAAACACAGCAAAGACCTTCTCAAGTCTGTCTTCTTCTTCTTTTTTTTTTTTTTTTCTTTTTTTCCATTTTCCACCCCAGGCTCTCTCTCCCCGATGTAATCTTCCTCCAGTGCACAACACAAGGCAAAGATGATGAAGGACACAGTCTGACTTGCTTCCATGTACATGAATTTTGATTTATGTACTTGATTTAAAAAGCCTGCAGAGACAAATCTTGGAACATCTGTTGGGCAGAAAATCAGCCCATCATCTGTCAGACTGGTGGACGTAATTCAAATGTAGCTATCTAAAAATAATAAAAGCATACTGTCTTCTGAATAGCAGTTACCATTAAAAGTGAAGGTTTCACCTTCGCTTTTTTTTTTGTACCAAACTTCAGGTATCAGAGATGAGGAGAAGGCTGAGTTCAAATGCTAAGGGCTTCTCACTGAGCTAGCACACTTCTAATTTGGACAGGAAAGGTCTGAACACAGACACTGACACTGTCCAAGTATATTCCAAAGATAAGGGACTACTCCAGCAGGCTTATAATTGATGATATAAATCAAAACTTTGGTCCATTTATGTTCACATAAATCAAAACGTAACTCCAAAGGTTCAACAGACCATATTCAAAGTAGCTTTCTACTGTATTATAGCCAAATGCCATTTCTTTCTTCCATTCTAAGAAATTTGTTCAGTTTCATCCTGGTGCTGTCTTAGAATAGTTTAGTTTCTTTGCTCTTTATCTGCCTCTAGCTTTAATTTTTTTAATATTTCCCTCAGGAAGTAACTACCTTTTTGAGGCAGGCATCTTCTTATATGTGTTATGTTTAGCACTTTTCTTGCTTCCTCACAGGGTAAATAATAATCACAGTGTGCAAGGCTGCAATTTTCCCAATGCCATTCCTCCTCCTGCTGGCAACATCTCCTGCAGCTTCACTGCACTCATTTTTCTGTACTCTTACCCAAGATAAATACACACATACCTTGCCAATGCCAGCATGCAGTTGCTTCTCTCAGCTTCTAAATTAATGTCATGTTCCTCCCATGTCACCACTCATTACACTATTGGCACACAGTTGTAAAAGAAGAGTGACAGATTGCTAGAGCAAAAGATTGCCTGCTTTCCTGCCTCTCTTATTTTATCACAGCAAGACCCATGTGGTCCAGACACTGAAAGGCACTGAGTGGGACATGAGTCACACAGGGAAGGTGGCTGTTTGCAAAATGTCAACAGAGGAAGGCAGGTGGACTTCCAAAAAAGCTCTCCTACTTAAATTAGAATCCAAGGTCTTTGACTGTCATGATAAATTACAAAAACTATGCCATCAAGTATTCCACCAGTACTCCATGACACCAGATTAACTTTGCTTATTATTACTGGGCCATGACACTGTGCTAAGGGGTTTTCAGGAGTGAGGATTTAACCTTCTCCAATAGCCCTCCAAAATGCCTGCAGGACCACGCAGCTGCACAACTGACCACTCTGGTGTACAAGGGAGTAGGAAGCGTCTGCTTGTGCAAACTGGCTACCAACAGAAGAAAAAACTGATAAGCAAACCTATCAGACATTCAAGTGTCCTCAAAGAAAACTACCAGCATGTTTTTGTCTATGTGAGACAGATAGTTAATCTTTGAGTCCTCCTTTGTCAGCAGCATTGCCGGTCTCTTTTGAAGGACAAGTCACAGAAGCTGATAGGAATTTGTTTAAATAAATGACAAAGGGAAAGAAAAAATACTTCTCCTGAAACAACTCATGTTGAGGATCAAGGGAAAAATGCTTTACAATGCTCAATTGTAACAAGTACTATGATCCACATTAAATGTCAGCGCTGTTTCTTCTTCATCCTCTCTGCTAGGAAGTAGATAAATCATTACCATACATGTTTGTGAAAGATCTTTTTCTCTCTGATCTTTTCACTGTCTTACACAGATTGAAAATACTGGTTTTGTTCTTTCTAGAAGGACAAACCGTTCCTCAGGAAATGTCAAAAATGTTTCTGACACTGGTGTTGTTGGAGCTCTGCATAGGAGGCTGAACAATGAAACACATCAGTCTTTGCCACTCAAACACACTTTTCTCCTTTTGGAAACTTTTCTCTTAGATCTCTGTCTTTGTCTGCAGTATTGAACAGAATGGTGCACTTCCCAAACACTGTTCCTTTTGAATGCCCATTACTGAGAATAGACTTGAAAAAAATGAAAACCCCTAAGATGCATCTGCAAAACACAGTAGCTGTGTAATACTGCTAGAGCTGGACTGATCAATTTTGTGTCTTGATGGTCTCATGCTGTAAGATGCATTTCAGTACCCTGTGTTTATTTTCTTGCTTTACTTTTAAGCAGTAAGAGTGTTCTTCAAGCACCTTTTCCCTTAAGGTTTGTAGTTGCAGAAGTGTTTCAGTAAGGAAAACAGAAAACTTAATAGAACTTCTCACTGTAAAACCCAAATGAAAACCACTTGATATACAATTGCCATGCTTTCACATCCTCTTCTGGTGCTGCTGCATCCTGCTGGCTTTGCTGCTTTTCTCAAAGACATCAGAATAAGAATGTTCTCATTTGTGTTAATGTAATCCTCATGCTTAATGCTGAGGTAGCACTGGGCCAAAGAAAGGGAAAAAATTAAGAACAGTCATGATTTCAATGAAAACAGCTCAAAGATTATGACAATGACTAATAGTAGCCTGTGCTGTTACGTTATATTTTTTGTGAGTAGATTTCTGTTTCATGTTTTTCCCCTCCAATTAAATTTATAACGCATATCTACGCCTAGTGCTAGGAGACCACATGCATAGCATATCTCTATCAAAACCAGAAATCTTTATTGTTTTGGGCTTATAGATTTCTTAAATGGCAAGGTGAAAAAAATACAGACAAGTATACAAAAGTTAAAAATGAAGCACTTAGGCAAAGAAGTAAATTCTTTAGCTTTCAGGGTTTTTAATATATCACTGAAGTTGAAATAAGTTCCTTTTAATTGTCCATGATAGATTTGGCCTTCTAGTACCTTTCAGGTATTCCAGGGCATCTCCAGCTCAAGTCCTCAAAAAAATTTGTAAGCTGTTTTCCCATTCAGAGAAAATAAATTATTTCCTGTCTCAATGAATCTACAGTGTAGAAACATGCCTGGATCCTTCTGCATCTTATATCTCAGCTGGGGGCCCATAAGTCATATGACATTCGCGGTATACCATCTGAAGGCTCAGTACGTTGTATAACAGGTTTTCATTCAGGGTTATTGGCAATGTACACAGCTGGACACAAAGCTGTGCTTTTCTGCTCTAGGTATTGGGTATGACTCTGGGTATGACTTACCTTTCCTCTTTGTTCCTTGGGCAATATAATCTGATAATGTGCAAAAGTGGATCCCAGATGAGATTTTTGGAAATTTTTATCACTTAGTCCCAAACCAGTCAGCCCAAGATAGCAAGATTACACAATTCCTTCATTTCCTGCCCTGGTTTCAGAAGCATTGAGTCAAAGTCCAAGATCTTGATCATATTTTCAGGTGCTCATCAGTTTAGGGTACAGAATCTGAAAGCTTAGCCAAAGCTGCAGAATAAATAGAGGAGGTGACAGTTTGTATGCCTTGGTACAATTCTAGATATATCTTATCTGTGTTTTCATTAGAAATGGCTCAATATGGAGAACTAATTTTGTTAAGTATTAAGGACTATCACAAACATCTTCTGTCCAAAAGCAAAATATTGTGCTTAACCTCTATTTTCCCTTGTATGCAATACCTGAAAATCATCTATGTGCACTTGCATAGGTACAACAGTTGAAAGGACTGGTGTAAGACAGATTGCCAACATTACAAGGCATATAGGGTATGAAACCCCTTTCTATACAAATTAAATGAGATGGAAAAGTGACCATATTTGAGAGCTTTCTTATTCTTCATACTGGTATACTTTTGATTGATTTTCTGATCACTTCCACATAGCCAATATTATAGTAAAGAAAAGAGAAAAAAAGCTACACAACTTTTTAGTTGTGTTGCTTTTTTACTTCTATGCTACAGTAAGGTTTACCTTCTACGAAGCCATATAGAGTAGAATAGGCTTGCTATGATATGCGTTATATGCACGATATGCATGGTGCTCTGATATACAGAAAAACAAATCACAAGACTAATAATAGCACTAAGTAATGGTACAAATGTCCTGTTGTGAAAAAAAAAAATAAGGAATAAAGGGGAATGGGTCATAATACTGACAACTTAATCAGAAGTTCTCTACAGCAAGCGATAAATGAAGTGACAGTAGCTGAAGGCAGTCAATACCAGG